GAGTACCTGGGAGCACACAATTTACATTCCTATACCATTATTTTGTATGCCTTTATCATAATCCCACTTATATGTCTCCTCCCCAAGCAGTCCTGACCACCCTGAAGTCAATGGGGCCAATATTTTACCTCTAATCTCTCTTAATGTCATTTCTTATTGAAGATTTTCCATACTGCTAATCATTTTTGCCACCTGCCTCTGGACTCTTTGTATTTCTGCTGCATCTTTTTGAAGATGGGTGACCAGAACTGAACACAATGTTACAGCTGGGGGCTGTAATGGGTTAGTGGTGGCCCCTCCCACTCTGGGTCAGTGGGAGGCCACTCCTCCTCACGACATCACGGGGTGTTGCTCAGAGTTGGGGAATTAGCCAAGTCACACTTAGCCTGTGGCTCTGGTTGGCAGTCTGGGCAGAGCAATAGCCACTTCGGGTTTCTAGCTCACAATCCGGGTAGTGAAGAGTCAAGGGCTCGGACCTGTACTCAGGGGCAAGGGCAAATAAACAGTTAGTAGGCCAAGCCCGCACTCAGGGTGGGGTGGTACAGAGTCTGGGTCTTGGGCCTGCACTCAGGGCAGAGTAACAAACAAACAGTCCAGAGCCCAGGCCCTTAGTCAGGGCAGGGCAACAAGATCCCGAGGCTCAGGCCAGGGCAGAGCACCCAAACACAGTCTAGGGGCACTCAGGAAGGGTTAGAGCCTAGTGTCCTCACTCGGTGGACTGTAGGCAGCTGTAGGCCCTCTGGCCTATGGAGGGGGGAGTACTGCCATCCCTGGGGTGGGGTGGCCGTTGGGACGCAGGCCTGCCCAACTCCACCACATCCCAGCCCAGGGCCCTAACAGTGATGTAGAAGTCTGCCACTGGGTCAGCTGGAATCCTCCCGCAACACGTTGACCTGGTCGCATGCCAGCTCTCAACTGGACCAATGTCTAGTCCCCCTGGGATACTTCCTAGCTCCCCCTCAGGGCATACCTGGGTCTGTAAGGGGTCCTCTGCATCGTCCGGGTAGAAGGCCAGTGGCAATCCCAGCAACTCCTCCTTGGCTTGGTCAGGGTGTGGCTCCGGCAGTGTCGGCCAGTCCTCAGCGCTACAGGGGTCCGTGGCAGTCTCCCAATTCAAGAGTGGGCAGGAGGCGTCTGGTTCCTTCAGCGGCTGCAGCCCAGCTGAGCTCACAGGCCTGCCTTTTGTACTTCCTGCCCTTCCCACTGACTTCCGGTGGGAGGGTTGAGCATGGCCTGGCTCCACCCATCAGGGCTCTGCATGTGGCCCCTTCCCCTCTGGTTCAGTGGGAGGCCACTCCACCGCACTGCAAGGCACATCACTGATTTAAGTAAAAACATTATAATATTCTCAGTCGTATCATTTTTGGTCCCATTCTTTATGCATCCTAACTTTTTCCCTCATTCTTTAACCGCCATTGCACATTGAGCAGAGTTTTTCATTGAGCTGTCCACAGTCAGGTCCAGATCTGTTTCCTAAGTGGTTACAGTTATCACAGAGCTCAGGTTTCAGAGTAGCAGCCGTGTTAGTCTATACCCGCAAAAAGAAAAGGAGGACTTGTGGCACCTTAGAGACTAACCAATTTATTTGAGCATAAGCTTTCGTGAGCTACAGCTCACTTCATTGGATGCATTCACTGGAAAATACAGTGTGGAGATTTGTATACAGAGAGAACATGAAACAATGGGTATTACCATACACACTGTAAGGAGAGTGATCAGGTAAGGTGAGCTATTACCAATAGGAGAGCGGGGGGCGGGGGGAGACACCTTTTGTAGTGATAATCAAGGTGGGCCATTTCCAGCAGTTGACAAGAACGTCTGAGGAACAGCGGGGGAGTGGGGGGAGAAAATAAACATGGGGAAATAGTTTTACTTTGCGTAATGACCCATCCACTCCCAGTCTCTATTCAAGCCTAAGTTAATTGTATACAGTTTGCAAATTAATTCCAATTCAGCAGTCTCTCGTTGACGTCTGTTTTGTTAATCAATCCAACTATACTCTTAGCCCAGCAGAAGAATCTGTCCTATCTCGGGGCCTCTCCTTCTGCCCCTCCACCCCCACGAACATGATACAGTTCTGTGGTGACTTAGAATCCTATTTTCGATGTCTCCGACTCAAGGAATATTTCCAACACATCTCTGAACAACATACTAACCCACAGAGACCTTCCTACCAACACTACAAAAAGAAGGATTCTGGGTGGACTCCTCCTGAAGGTCGAAACAACAGACTGGACTTCTACATAGAGTGCTTCCGCTGACGTGCACGGGCTGAAATTGTGGAAAAGCAGCATCACTTGCCCCATAACCTCAGCCGTGCAGAACACAATGCCATCCACAGCCTCAGAAACAACTCTGACATCATAATCAAAAAGGCTGACAAAGGCTGATGCTGTCGTCATCATGAATAGGTCGGAATATGAACAAGAGGCTGCTAGGCAGCTCTCCAACACCACTTTCTACAAGCCATTACCCTCTGATCCCACTGAGGGTTACCAAAAGAAACTACACCATTTGCTCAAGAAACTCCCTGAAAAGCACAAGAACAAATCCGCACAGACACACCCCTAGAACCCTGACCGGGGGTATTCTATCTGCTCCCCAAGATCCATAAACCTGGAAATCCTGGACATCCCATCATCTCAGGCATTGGCACCCTGACAGCAGGATTGTCTGGCTATGTAGACTCCCTCCTCAAGCCCTACGCTACCAGCACTCCCAGCTATCTTCAAGACACCACTGACTTCCTGAGGAAACTACAATCCATCAGTGATCTTGCTGAAAACACCATCCTAGTCACTATGGATGTAGAAGCCCTCTACACCAACATTCCACACAAAGATGGACTACAAGCCGTCAGGAACAGTATCCCCGATAATGTCACGGCAAACCTGGTGGCTGAACTTTGTGACTTTGTCCTCACCCATAACTATTTTACATTTGGGGACAATGTATACCTTCAAATCAGTGGCACTGCTATGGGTATCCGCATGGCCCCACAGTATGCCAACATTTTTATGGCTGACTTAGAACAACGCTTCCTCAGCTCTCGTCCCCTAATGCCCCTACTCTACGTGCGCTATATTGATGACATATTCATCATCTGGACCCATGGCAAAGAAGCTCTTGAGGAATTCCACCATGATTTCAACAATTTCCATCCCACCATCAACCTCAGCCTGGACCAGTCCACACAAGAGATCCACTTCCTGGACACTACGGTGCTTATAAGCGATGGTCACATAAACACCACCCTATACCGGAAACCTACTGACTGCTATGCCTACTACATGCCTCCAGCTTTCATCCAGACCACACCACACGATCCATTGTCTACAGCCAAGCTCTACGATACAACCGCATTTGCTCCAACCCCTCAGACAGAGCCAAACACCTACAAGATCTCTATCAAGCATTCTTACAACTACAATACCCACCTGCTGAAGTGAAGAAACAGATTGACAGAGCCCGAAGAGTACCCGGAAGTTACCTACTACAGGACAGGCCCAACAAAGAAAACAACAGAACGCCACTAGCCATCACCTTCAGCCCCCAACTAAAACCTCTCCAACGCAGCATCAGGGATCTACAGCCTATCCTGAAGGATGACCCATAACTCTCACAGATCTTGGGAGACAGGCCAGTCCTTGCTTACAGACAGCCCCCCAACCTGAAGCAAGTACTCACCAGCAACCACACACCACACAACAGAACCACTAACCCAGGAACCTATCCTTGCAACAAAGCTCGTTGCCAACTGTGTCCACATATCTATTCAGGGGACACCATCATAGGGCCTAATCACATCAGGCACACTTTCAGAGGCTCGTTCAACTGCACATCTACCAATGTGATATATGCCATCATGTGCCAGCAATGCCCCTCTGCCATGTACATTCGTCAAACTGGACAGTCTCTACTTAAAAGAATAAATGGACACAAATCAGACGTCAAGAATTATAACCTTCAAAAACCAGTTGGGGAACACTTCAATCTCTTTGGTCACTCGATTAGAGACCTAAAAGTGGCAATTCTTCAACAAAAAAACTTCAAAAATAGACTCCAACGAGAGACTGCTGAATTGGAATTAATCTGCAAACTGGATACAATTAACTTAGGCTTGAATAGAGACTGGGCGTGGATGGGTCATTACACAAAGTAAAACTATTTCCCCATGTTTATTCCCCCTGCTGTTCCTCAGACATTCTTGTCAACTGCTGGAAATGGCCCACCTTGATTATCACTACAAAAGGTGTCTCCCCTCCTTCCCCGCTCTCCTGCTGGTAATAGCTCACCTTACCTGATCACTCTCATTGTAGTGTGTATGGTAACACCCATTGTTTCATGTTCTCTCTGTATATAAATCTCCCCACTGTATTTTCCAGTGAATGCATCTGATGAAGTGAGCTGTACCTCACGAAAGCTTATGCTCAAATAAATTGGTTAGTCTCTAATGTGCCACAAGTCCTCCTTTGCTTTTTTCATAGAGCTCAGCAATGCATATGAGTAGCTCACATTATTCTTTTCCATGTGCATTTCCTTTCATTTGTCAAAGTGAATTTCATTTGCCATTGTGTTGCCCAATTGTGCTACCTAGTGTTGCTACGTACCTTTGAAATTTCTCAGCCTTCACTAACCTACATAATTTTCTGTCATCTGAAAATGTTGCTACTTCACTGTTCCTACCATTTTCCAGGTCATTAATAAATACATTAAGCAACAGCAGTCCTAGTATGAAGCCTTGGGTCACCCCTCTGCTAATCTTTAGCTGTGTTGGAAATTGACCATTTCTTCCTGCTCTTTGTTTACTATCTCCTAGCCCGCTTCTAATCAATAACAGGACTTTACCGCTCATCCCCTAGCTATTTAGTTTCCTTAACAGGCTCTTTCTAGAGACTTTGTTGAAGGCTGCTTAAGAGCTTCAGGTGTACATACAACATTAGCAGCTTGTTGTTGAATCGTGGGATTGTGACATCAGAGGTATGTCATGCTCTAACAGGATGAAAGTTCTCAAGGTATGCCAGGCTTCATTCCTGTCAGAGACTACAGCCTCCCTTTATCGCTCAAAAAGACACCATCAAACCAAGCAAATGGAGAATTCCTCGATTCACAACCTGTCTATTACAAACAAAAATTTACAAAATCAAATATGGGATCTCAGAGAAACAGCTGTAGAGCTTGATGCTGAAAACCAGAAGCTAATGAAAGAAAACAAAGAGATAAAAGACCAGAACAGGAGATTGCAAGCCAGAGCAGACTGCTTTAAGACATTAGTGGGAGACCTACAAAGAGAAGTGGACAATGCAAGGGAGATGGTGGAAGGAAGAGAAGACAAGATTAATAAATTAGAATTCCAAAACAAATACTTGGAGAAAATAAATGAACAACTTAACATGGAAATCATGGAAATGGCTTGCCAGATTTCTGCATATCACAATATCTGTCAGGAAAAAGACATATATGGGGTGAGAAACAAAATGTATGAAAACAAGAAGTATCTAAAACACCTAAAGACCAATCTAGAAAGTGAAGAGCAGCTGTATGAACAAGAAAAGCTCGAAACGTGCCAGTTAAGGGAGACACTGGAAGAGCTTGACAAAATTGGGGAATTTCAGAAAAATGACATCATGCAACTGGAAGGGCAGCTGGTAATGTCATCCCAGGAAACAGCATTACTGAGGGTGGAGAATGAGGACAAGTTTCAGAATGGTTCATTATTGAGGCAGGTTGCTGAAGTCAAGTTTGCGGAGAACTCACTTCACAAACCTAAGAAACACAATTTCCTCTGTTACATATGGAATCTCTTAAAGCTCTTGCTCATATTAGTGGTGTGGTTGGGACTTGCAGCAGCTTTGGTATTATTATACATCTATGTTTTCAACAACGATTTTATAGCTGACAGCCTTCCACTATTGATTAGTGACCATGACCTTGACATGCTAATACAGATCTTGTCTCCATATCTTATCTGGAAAAATGATGGACTGTTGCCATTTTGAGAAAAGCTGTACGGCTCTGCTGAGCTCTCCATGTCATATTAATTGTCTCTATTTCAGTGCCTTGATGCATGCGTTCCGCTCCCCATTAAAAATTATATTTCTTTATAAATTTTTATTTTAGAAATCCAAATAATCTATATAATTCAGTTCTCCTTTAGCCGCCATTGGGCTCACACACAAAGAATTCTAATAGAGTGGAGAGGTCTAATTTAACTTTACAGCAGCCATGCCCATTTGTCTCTATCAGGCCATCACCACTTAGGCATTTTATAATCCTGTTTCAACCAATTTTCTTGGTGCTGAAGTACAGCTTGCTGATCTGTAATTCCCAGGATCATCTGAGCAAAGGAACCAGTAGCTCAGGAATGAAGAGAGAAGAGGGAGGCTGCCTCACTGCTCCAAGACCATTTGCATGTGAACACAAAGCAGTTTATACTGGAAAAAAAGACTTTGTCCATGTAGACAAGGTCTTATTTATAGAGAGAGGCCCGTGATGAGGTTAGACGGCAGGTCTACAGTATGATGGTTCTGCAGACTAATGAGCTAAAGTAACACATGCCTTTTTGCACAAGTCAGTGTGACTGTGCTGTACTTCAGTGTGCACTTTCTACATCATGGAAAGAGAAAGCTGTATAGCCACCATAACATGGGTTTTATAACAGCAATGAATATATTTCCCTTAGATGCACGCATAGCACATATAGGGCCCAGTCACATTGCCACTGAAGTCAATAGCAGATTTTCCATTGCCTCGACTGGGTGTTGTAGTAATTATCTGCTTCCAGGAAAAACCCAGCAGAGCACTTCCCTGTCTCAGGCAAGCGAACAGAAAATTTAGTTTGTGCTAAGCTGGCGAGGCTGGGTTAACCATGATACTTGATTCTGGAATTCACTTCCCTGTTATCTGCCAGTCCCTAAATGTGTTCATTGCAAAGCCTATCTATTTTCCCAGGCTTTGGGGGAGGGTGTGGAGGTAACCAAGAGATGTGGGAAGAGGGAGAGTGTTTAGCTGAATGGGTGAGGATGAAGATTTCATTGTGGACATTAGTTCAGATGGTGTCGTGTTTTTACATTTGGCTAATACATTTTGTACGTTCATCTAGAGCAATGGACAGAGGCTTTTTAAATAAAACAAAATAAATACCATTTTGTGGAAGGAAAATTAAATCCTGAAGATCAACGTGGCAGTTAGCCAAGTAGCAGCCAGCTTGAGGCTTCAAAATTATCCCTGACATTTATGCACAAAGCAAGCCTGCCAAGCAGAAACTAGCAAATAAACAGTCAACTGAACAAATATGATACTGAAAAGAATCTTAATGGGGAAAAGAATTGTGACACCATGATATATGTGCAGTGGCTGGTAGCAGTAGTGGTGAGGACAAATTCCAAAGATGAAAGGGCAGGAAAGCCCCCTTAATCTCCTTCCATTCTAGGTTGTGTGACAAGAAAGGAAAGACTGTGTGGAATAAGGAACGAGACAATCTGGGAGGAAAGAGGGCAGGTGGGAGAGCATGAAGACAGTGGGCTAATTTCACAGGTAAGGTGAACTAAGAAAAAAGATGGTGTTATGTATAAGATATTGGAGTAAGAATCAGGAGACTCTCTGCTACTGGCTTCCTTGGTTATTTCAGGCAAATCACTTAATGTCTCAGTTCTCTACTTGCATAAAGGGGTAATAATATTCCATTTGCCTCTCTTGTGTATTTAGATGGTAAATTATTCAGGGCAGTGATGTCTCAGGTGTACGTGCAGTGCCTCGACAAGGGGGCCCAATCGTAGTTGAGGCCTTTAGTTGCTATCATAATTAGTAAAAATGAGAGGTGAACTGCATTTAAATGGGTACAAGAGCCCAAGTTGCTTAAGCTGCATGAATTTTCAGTTTGTCAGTTGTGAATCAAAGAAACGAACTTCACTTAAAAAAGAACCAGGAGTACTTGTGGCACTTTAGAGACTAACAAATTTATTTGGGCATAAGCTTTCATGGGCTAAAACCCACTTCATCGGATGCATGCAGTGGAAAATACAATATGAAGATATATATACACACAGAGAACATGAAACAATGTATGTTGTCCTACCAACTGTAACGAGACAAAACCCATCAATTAAGGTGGGCTATTATCATCAGGAGAAAAAAAACGTTTGTAGTGATAATCACGATGGCCCATTGCAAACAGTTGACCTAGCTATAGTGTGCCATGGGTTGTGAAGCAGAACTCATTAAGAAGATGTAAGATAAAGTTGACCCCCGTCCCACTTCAGCTTATGCCCAGAACAAAACAGTTATCCCCAACTTTCTATGCAATTTACACAAAACTCTAATAGGCTTCTGAGATCAGCTTGTCAGAACAAATAGCATTTCAGTGTTGCAAATGTGTTTTAAGTATGGTTGTCCTTTTTCAATCTGAGTGGCTAGTCAAAGTTCAGGACCCTGGGGATGTTCTAGTTGGAAGCAGAAATTGATGGAGTCTGGTATTTTCTTTGATGCAATCTTGTTTATGTACAAGGAATGTGCCAAGTTCCATGTCTCTGAAAGCAAAAGGAACCAAGAACGAAAGGAACAGTTTCTTTGCTTACAGTCCCCACGCCTCATTAGCCAACACCAGACCCCAAAGCTCTCTCTCAGTTGCTCTTTTCAGAGTCATACTGTATTTACAGGCTTCTGTTTGGATTTCTTGCCTCTCCCACTCTCTCTGTTCTTGTCTGTTCTCAGGGCAAGCCTACACCTCAAATGCTGCATTGGTGCAGCTGCGCTGCTATAGCACTTTAATGAAGATGCTCTAAACCAATGGGAGAGAGAGCTCTCCTGTCAGCACAGTTAATCCCCCTCCTGAGAGGCGGTTGCTGTGGTAATGGAAGAAGCTCTCTTGCTGACATAGTGCTGGTGAAACAGGGGTTTAGGTTGGTATAACTGCATTGCTCAGGGATGTAGATTTTTCACCCCCCTGAGTGAACCAGTTATACCTATATAGGTCTGTGGTGAGGACCACACCTCAGTTTCTGTGTGATCTACCTTCCCAACCTGTGCACTCATCTACCCAAAACCATACTCCGCCAAAAGCTCCTGGGTGGGTTCACACATAGGTGCTGACTCCATGGGTGCTCCAGGGCCAGCTCCCCCTGGCCCCCAGTGCCTCCCACTCACCAGTGGCCCCGCTGATCAACTCCTCCCCCGCCCTCCCAGCGCCTCCTCCCCACTGCATTCAGCTGTTTTGCAGTGTGCCAGAGGCGCTGGGCAGGGGGGAAGTGGAGGAGTGGGGATGGGGCACGCTCGGGATGTGTGGAACTGGGCTGGAAGAGGCAGGTGGGGGTGGGGACTTGGGAGAAGGCGTGGAGCCTGGGGCAGAGTGGGGATGGGAAGAGACAGGACGGGGGGGAGGGCTTGGGGGAACGGGTTGGGTGGGGGCTGGGCCTGGGGCAGAGCAGGGGGTTGAGCACCCCCAGGGCCCGGAGGAAGCTGGCGCCTATGGGTTCACTTATACCTTTTTTTTAGGTGGACGCTTATGCTTACAGTTAGGTGTGAACGCATCCTTCAGTTAACATATCTATCTCAGTGGGGTTTTAACTCAACTCATAACAAGGTTCACTCAGCTCATAACAGTATGATAAAACTGTTACTCTTCAAAACACTTACATATGGCACATATTGCCGAGAAAAACCAAAATCAAAGTCTTCTTGGTAAACTGTTTTAATAGTATTTGTAGTTCATATAAAGTTGCAGTTAAACACAAAGCAAAAAAGCAGAACTGGGTTGCCTATAGATAATTTATTCAATAGTTTCATCCCTTTCTGATATTGGCTTTTTACCTGTACATGTATTGATTATATTTTTCCTAAATTTGTTCCTGATATCTACTAACAGTCTGTGGATTATCTGTGAATTGCACGCAATGATTATTTTTATTTATTATCTGTGAAAGTCACATGGTATTGTTTCAGTTCCTGGATCGGATGACCTAAGCACAAGGCATGTCTAAACAAAGCACTGGGGCTTTGAATCTCTCAGGGGTGATGGATGGGTAGTAGCACTTTAGGGACTGAGATATAGCCCTGGTCTACACTAGGACTTTAGGTCGAATTTAGCAGCGTTAAATCGATGTAAACCTGCACCCATCCACACAATGAAGCCCTTTATTTCGACTTAAAGGGCTCTTAAAATTGATTTCCTTACTCCACCCCTGACAAGTGGATTAGCGCTTAAATCGACGTTGCCAGCTCGAATTTGGGTACTGTGGACACAATTCGATGGTATTGGCCTCTGGGAGCTATCCCAGAGTGCTCCATTATGACCGCTCTGGACAGCACTCTCAACTCAGATGCACTGGCCAGGTAGACAGGAAAAGAACCGCGAACTTTTGAATCTCATTTCCTGTTTGGCCAGTGTGGCAAGCTGCAGGTGACCATGCAGAGCTCATCAGCACATGTGACCATGATGGAGTCCCAGAATCGCAAAAGAGCTCCAGCATGGACCGAACGGGAGGTACGGGATCTGATCGCTGTTTGGGGAGAGGAATCCGTGCTATCAGAACTCCGTTCCAGTTTTCAAAATGCCAAAACCTTTGTGAAAATCTCCCAGGGCATGAAGGACAGAGGCCATAACAGGGACCCGAAGCAGTGCCGCGTGAAACTGAAGGAGCTGAGGCAAGCCTACCAGAAAACCAGAGAGGCGAACAGCCGCTCTGGGTCAGAGCCCCAAACATGCCGCTTCTATGATGAGCTGCATGCCATTTTAGGGGGTTCAGCCACCACTACCCCAGCCGTGTTGTTTGACTCCTTCAATGGAGATGGAGGCAATACGGAAGCAGGTTTTGGGGACGAAGAAGATGATGAGGAGGAGGAGGTTGTAGATAGCTCACAGCAAGCAAGCGGAGAAACCGGTTTTCCCGACAGCCAGGAACTGTTTCTCACCCTAGACCTGGAGCCAGTACCCCCCGAACCCACCCAAGGCTGCCTCCTGGACCCAGCAGGCGGAGAAGGGACCTCTGGTGAGTGTACCTTT